AGGCAGGAGAAGTGAGGCAGGAGAGGAAGGCAGAGTGAGGTCACAGTGGGCCTTGGGTCCCATGTTAAGGGGTCTGGAGGTTTCCTTTAGGTAAAGGGTCTGGATGGGTCGTGGTGGATGCCTATAGGTTTGACCTGTCTGATTCCATTCCACTTTCCTCTGATAGTGTTGCCTTGACTTTTGTTTGTTGCACGTGATCGAGGTGGAAATGATTGCATCTTCTAGGCTCGAGGGACAAGCCTGTGATGCAGACCTGGGCATTTAGGGATTTCCATCTTCCTGGTCAGAGGGATTGATTTCTGCATGAGAATATGATGCGAGTTGGCCCCAAAAGACTCAATCCTAGGACTTATGTTGTTGGAACGCTTGGGTATAAGAAAGTACTTTGTGCTGAGGTTGAAGAGCTTTGACAGTATAAACTTTGGAGTTTGGGGACCACCACGAGAGAAGGGTCTACTGAAAATAAAGCTAACATAAATGAAAGCCGAATTAAGAGAAGACGAGATATGCTTTCTGATGACATTGTTTGAATATCTGGATGTAGCCACAGGTGGAATTAGAAACTTTGCTCGACCTTTCAGTTGTGCGGGTCAAAAAATTCCCTCCCCTCCTTTTTTTTTCTTAAGTCAGTTAGATTTTTCTTAAGTTAAGTTAAGATTTTCTTAAGTAAGTTAGATTTCTCTCTCATTCACAAAAGAATCCTAGCTGTTTAGAATAGAAGAAATTGGAGACTAGATGCCAGAGAGGAGATGAGAGAGAGAGACAGATTTTGGGATTCCTGGAAAGGAGAATTAGATGGTTAGACAGCTGAAGACTCTGGAGATTAGCTAAATTAAGCCAAGACTAGAGAACAAAACACAGACCAAGCCAGATTTGGGCAGGGGTTCGAGGGCTAAAGACATTCATGAACTGTTAGCACAGGCTGTCATTAGAAATCAAAGGTCCTGCCTGGATTTCTCCAGAATTCAGCTGCTGAGTCAGAATGGTTAATATTTCATTAGAAGCTGAGGGCAAAGCAATAATATGGGGTGGGGCCCAGGTTCAGAGGCTAATATGGGTTCAAGCTAGTCTAAGCTAGACTTGAGGAGAGAGCTGTTTACCTTTATGAAGTCTATTTTCACATGCATTTTGTATCCTGGAATTAATCAAAATACAGAACTGATTTACATTTAGAAAGTAGTCTGAAAGTGTAGGTGATTCACCGTAAAGAACAGGAATGGGAGGAAAGAAGGCAAATTACGGTATCAGTATCTGATTCTGAAGGGGGAAAGTTCTGCTTCTTGATTGTTGGGGTTCCAAGTGTACACTGGGTATGACTCTTCAGCAGATCCCACCAGTGTCCGCCATGACTTAGAATGATTTTGAATCCATCTCTAGTCACAGATCACTCATGCAATCTTTTCATCTTGGGTGGATCTATTTGCAATTAGGCGGGCATTGTGGCCAGCAGATATGACCATATATAAAACCATTGTGGCCAGCAGATACAACCACCTAATAAATATTTTTAATTCTAGGATTTCCACTGGATCTTTTTTTATAGTTTCAATTCCTATTCTGATACTCCCCATTTCTTCATGTATTATATTAATCTTTTCTTATAGACTTTATTTTAGACTTTTAATTTTGTTCCCAGTTAGTATGAAAGTAGCCCAGAAGTAGCTTACTTCCAGCCTAGCTGTACAGAGAAATCTATCTTTCAAAACTCTAAATACAATCTTTAGTTTCAAATGATGCCTGAGGGGTTTATAAATCCATAGTTTTTAATCACCTTGGAGGTCGAAACTCTCCTAATGTCTGGATTGAACATCTGTACTCGTATAAAAAGATGCTTCAGTGCAATGAGTAGAAATATAACTCAAGGCAAAGCAAGCACTTTTGAAGCTTCAGTGCAGATACCACTTGGCAGGACTGCCCAGCCAAGGCTATCACAGTAACATGTGATAAATGATCAAACCCTATGCGCTAGGGTACCAAGGCTGAAATTAGGGACCCCTCGAATGAAATTGTCTGAGACCAGAGCATACATGCCATTTGAATTCGACTGTTTATAAGAATCTAAAAGGAAAGAGAAGGATCATTCAACCATTATATTAAAAGGAAATATCTAATATCATTTTCTATTTTTAACATTTAACCAGGGGGTAGCATTTTTAAACACCACACAGGTTGCATTATTAACTTCACTGCTGGAGATGATGCACTGAGCAGATGAAGTAATACACTTGCTTTGTTATTGACACATTGCCTGAGCTCCTGGTTTTAGAAGAGGTTAAGGAAGTCAGGAACTGGAAAAGCTAAGCAGCTACGGGGATGATTATAATCTCCTTGAGATGGTACCATCTATTATTGTTCCATCCAAATCTTAAGAAGTTTATAAAATGTTAGCCGTAACACTCCTTTAAAGATTATGCTTATATGATGTTATATCACTGTGATTCAGGAAGAATACCAGAGGCTGATAGAAAGCATGCTTGAAAAAATGTTAAAAATCAAAGTGATGGAAACAGAAAGTCTGGAGCAGAAGCTAAAATAGACTATAGACAGTCTCTTTTTATTACTTATTATGAATATACAAGAATTTTCTAAAACATTATGATATAACACTCAATACCTGTGTGGTATCTAAGAATTCATCTTGAATGGAAAACGTGTCTTCAGCAGTCCTGCATTAAAAAAGTGCTCATTTGGTATTTTCTCAGTTCTAGCCACCAAAGAAAGAACAATAAACATAGTAGACAGGGACCCTGGTGTATATCCTTGGGAAGCTTAGCATCTAACAGAGAAAGAGGTTACAAAAATGATTGCAAAAATAAAGATATACTTAATAATTTGGTAAGTCCTAAGGTGGAAAAGCACAGGATGCCATAAGAATAAATCACAATGGTACCAAATATAAACCGACAGTGAATGTGTTAGTTAAGACATCCCTGAGGTTGTAGAATTTATGGTAAGAATGGGGGCAATGGAAAAATGGAGCGAAGTCCAATATTACCTTCAACCTCACTAATCCCTTCTTCTATTGTATAAAATCTGATGCTAATCCATCTAATATATATTCTAATTTTATGATTTCCAGTTCTTCTTTTTTATAGTTTCAATTTCTATTCTGATGCTCATTTCTTAATATATTATGTTAAGCTTTTCCTATGGACTTTATTTTAAACTTTTCATTTTGAAATTATCGTCAATTCCTAGAAAGTTGTGAAGATAGAACAGAGAGGTTCCATGTACCTTTATGCAGTTTCTCCCATTGATTACATCTTAACTGTTGTACAATATCAAAACCAGGAAACTTATATTGGTATAAAGTGTGTATAGTTCTATGCAACTTTACTACACGTTAGGATCATGATAACAGGAAGCTTCTTCCTTTTGGATATAGTCCTCGGGATAAATGCTACCCTGAATTATTCTAAAATCCAATCATAATTTTCTATCTTGACAAGACCAGAAGATTCTCAAGGGTAAGCATCATGCCTCCTCCTTCCCCCGTAGTATCGAGGATAGAGTTTTACACAAGAGTAAACATTTATTTGAGTGTGTTGCTTTGAATTTTGACCGTTTGGCTGAATCTGTATGTTTCCTTTGTTTATAGTTTCTAATTACCTGACAGTTCTTTGTCCAAATGTGATGACCCACTAAAGAGCATGAAGATACACCTTGAAGACTCACAGTCTGGCTCCTGCCTGATTCTCCAACCACATCTCATCCTACTCTGCTTTCTCCCTCACTCACTACGCTCTTGCTACGCAGACCTTCTCTCAGTACTTTGATGTGTCAAGCGATTCCCACCCCAGACCCTTTGTGCTTCTTACTTCCTTTGCCTAGAATGGACACGGCACGGCTGCTGCTGCTCATCACTTAGATGTCAGGTCAAACGGCAGCTTCTCAGATGGGTCTTCCTGATCACCGGGTCCAAGTCTCCTGTTCCCTCGAATCTGACCCAAAACATTCTCTTGCCCATCACTCTGTTTTGCTTTCTTCATAGCACGTCCTATTACCTGAAATGGTCCTCTTCATACTTGCTTGTCTGTTTACTGCCTGTCTTCCCACATTAGAACCTAAACTCCACGAGGGCAAGGAACTTTGTCTCATTCAGAGCAGAGCTGTCAATGCTCAGAGCAGAGCTGTCAATGCTCAGAACAGTGAATGGCTTTTTGAGTTGTCACCCTGAGTGCCATCTTGAAAACAACTTGTCATGGGTACAGTATTTCCATGCACACAATTGTAAATTGATTTCAGTGAAAAATAGCATAGAGGCAGAAGCTACAGAAACATTTAAAAAGAATAAATGAAGTATTACTTCAAATTTAATTCCACAGTGAGAGCACAGGTCATAAGATCTACTAATGAAAAGCAAAGGGGATACGGTGACAATGTCTTGTATATAATAATAGCTAATATTTATTGAGTACTTACTGTGTTCTATGTATTGTTCCAAATACTAGGCTTGAAAAAAATGACACAACTCATTTAGTCTTTACAGTAACTGAGAGATAGATATACTATGAAAATCTCCATTTTATGGACGATGACACTGAGAGCAAAGGTTAGATAAGAAATTGCACAGGTCGATCTGCCTGAAATTTTAAAGCCTGGAAGTGGCAGAGCTGGGGATTGAACCCATGCAGTTTGGTTCCAGTCTGTGATTGTAACCACTGTGCTCTAGTGCCTCACTGCCATTTGGAGTAAGAGTTTGTTCACTTTAGTTTCCTCATTTATCGATTAAGTAGATCTGGAATTATTCTTTTGCACACAGCCCCACAGCTATACAGTTTAGAATGTGATGGGCTTGGCGTTAGGCTGCAGGCCTATGTGGATTATTAATCTGCATAATCTTCAACATCAATTTCCAAATATGTAAAGTGAAGGGTATTTCAGCCTTATTCAAGATAAATGAACATTTCACAGTTTTTTTTTTTCTGTTATGGGAGCTCTGAGCACCATGCTGCTGCTAAATTTCAGAAGACCATTGTCAGGAGTATTTAATATATTACCTGGACTTTATTCATCTCCAGTTTGTTCTTCTCATTAGCGCTTTGGTCTTGTTTGCCAGCTCCTTTTTTCTGAGGGCCTTTCCCAAAGAAGATGTAATTTACAAAGGCGTATTCCAGCAGAGCCAGGAACACGAACACAAAGCAACCCATCAGGTAAATGTCAATCGCTTTGACGTAAGGGATCTTTGGCAGGGTCTCCCTGAGGTGAGTGCTGATGGTCGTCATCGTCAGCACGGTGGTGATTCCTATACAATAGAAAGACACAGCTTGGCTGAATGCACTTGTTAAGCTCCCTTTTTAAGGCTGAGGGGATAGATGCCATTCTCTTGTTGGTACCCCCAAGTGACGGCAGTAATGCAATAAACCACGGGGCAGAAAGGGTAGACATTTTGAAAGACAAAGCTGCAGGCTGCCAATGGAGTTCATGAGCAAATCACAAAATAGGATGCTCTGTGCTGGGTTGAGAACTGTTTTATAAAAAATAATGCACAAAGGAAAAAGGAAAGTAGATGGAAAGGCATCTAAAAATCTCACTGATTTGCCCACTGCTTACTATCAAATGTCTCTCATTCTGTTACATGCCACTTCCTTCTTCTTCCTTCTCTCAACATCTCCCTCATGTCCCTCCTAAATCTGTCCTTGTAATACTCATTTCCACAGCAGCCACTACCGAACTGAACGTTGGTGACCAGTTTGAGGAGACCTATTTTATTGCATGAACCTGTAATATACCCAGGTCATAGGGTCAGTATCACCTTTTAAAATCACAATGCATCATTCATGATGAGTCAACATGAAAAGAAGAAACAAATAAGAAAGTTCATGATTTGCATCAAGTATTTGATATATGTATTTTTAAATATAATTTTATTGTTTTTTTTTTCAAATATTACCTCTAGTTTCTTGATTTTAGAGAATAGAATGAATTAGTTCCCTGGAGTCAGGAAAAGACTTCCTGAAAATTCAACTTGTTAAAGAAATTTAAGACTGTAATCTTTTAAAAGGAAGATTCTACTTTGTTAAATATAGCATCCTTAACAATAATGTTTGTGGGTCTGTATAATATTTTGTGTTTATGTTGGTGACAATGAAATGGTAATTGGGAAAAAAAGAAGCGATGTTAATATCTAATACTAAACTATGTTGTAATGTAAATATTACACATTTGTATAGTGTTTTTACAGCTTCAAACACTTACAGCTATGAATTATATAACATATTATTATATGTCATAACAGCCTGCTCAGTACAATAGGGCAGGTACATTATTCTCATCTTATAGCTGAGTAACAAAAACTCTGAGATTAGTTATTTTGCAGTAGATCAGCTAGAGATAAAAAAGTAAGGAGGCGTTAAGCAAAGGCATTAAAAATAAAAGCAGAGAGATGAAAAGTAAAATCTAAAACTTGATGAGGTTCCTTAAAAATAAAGTCAGGAAATGTGAAATGATTATTAAAGACAAAGGAAAACTGGCAAAGGGAATAGAAGTTAGAAAATGAAAAGGGGAAAAAAACCAAACCAAACCAAACCAAACAAACAACAGTTTAGCCCTCATTTGCCAGTCAGATTATTCTATTTAGATTTCCTGATTTGACTACTCAACTTTAGGAGAACAGGTAAAGTAGGAAGTCAGAACTACCATACAGAAGTCACAATGGTTCAGGTCAGTGATGAGTTTAAATACGCTGGACCGATAAGAAATGCTTCATGAGTGCCCCTATTTACTTCTTTGAATAAAATTTAAAATTTCCCCTAATACAATTCTACCTCACGTCCTGTACAGAAACAATTCATCTAAAATCCACTTATTCCACTTCTGCATCTACTCCTTGGTTTAAATTTTTTAAGCAAGAAGAGCTAGAAAATAAATGTCTCATTTACTTAGATAAGTTTTAAAATATCTTAGGTTTTGCATTTCAGAGACCAGGTTTATTCAGCAACTGTGCTGACATGTCTAATCAAAATAGCATTAGCTCTGAGGATAGAAGTGTAAAGAGAACCACAATTCATGATCTTGATAGTTCTTCTTCCCTACTGTGGGCATTGTCCAGTGTTTTTTGTTTAACAATAGCATATATACACATTCATGTTCGTATTCAAATAATATGTGCAGACATATATATATATATATATATATATATATATATATATATAATGTGATAAACTATTTGTTTACTTTCTGTAGTCTTGGAATGTTCAAAGGTTAATAAAGAGCTGCCAGAACTTGACATTGTGAAGCTTATGTGCGCAACCAATAGAAATGAGCTTTATAGTTGATGGTTAGTCTAGGTATGAAAGGGTATGCTGATCATCTAATCCAGCTCTGTAGTCTCAGAAGAAAAGAGGTGTATATGCTAGCTTATTCATGAATGATGCTCTTGTGTGTATGGGGTGTGTGGGTGTGTGTGTGTGTGTGAATAAGCCCCAGAAGGTGATAACTGAAATGGCTGTAGGATCAAACAATGAGGCAGACCCACATGTATCCAGATTCATTAGACAGACCTTACAAATTCTAAATTTCTAAGGAATCTTTAAAGTCTCAAATACAGCCTTCCCACTTGCAGCAATTACTCAATCATGGCAAGATTAATTCTGAATTTTGTTCCCTCAGGAAAGAAATCATTTTTATTCTGTCCTGACCACAGATCACGAATACAGCTGAATTGTCTGTGCCTTATTCAAGGGCAAGGAGCTCCATTTAAGAGATACTAAGATCGATACAATTGAACTATAGTTAATTTTCAAAAGATAGTATTTCACAACAATTGATATAGCTTGTTAATAGTTACAAGGTTCAGCTGTCTCCAAATCCATTTGAGAATAATGCAATAATGTTCTCCACTGTAAAAAGCAGGAACCAAAGAAGAAATCACAAAGTTAGTAAAAATTAATGTAATGAGAATTTTAAAATATGCTCTAAGAAGCATTTATTATAGTGTTGAATGTACTCCAGGATTTTTTTTTTTTTACTTTGGTAAAATTATAAAAAGATATTATGTTGTAAAACATTCACTCTGTAAGTGCTTATACTTAGATGTTTTATTAACAAGCACTCTCACGGTAATCTCATTCTTTGGCTACTTATGAGAGCAGCCCTTGCCCAAGCCCTTGCCTGTAATTCTATCCCTGGTGGTTGTTTGAAGCTAAGTCCCACCAGCTCTCTGTAGCGCTGGAAATGCATTACCTAGTGCCACTCTGGCTGCAGATGCATCATAGTTGATCCAAAACGACACCCAGGACAGAATAGTAATCAGTGTGGAAGGCATGTAGGTTTGCAAGATGAAGTAACCAATGTTTCTCTTTAGACGAAAACTTAGTGACAGTCGTGGATATGCCCCTGAGTGGGAAAAAAAAAAAAGAAAAATCAAGTCGCCATTTGGTTGAAGCCATCTTATTTCTCAGCATCCCCTAGTTCATGTTTGGGGAAACAGCGTCACCTGTTGTGAACTCCACCTTCTTGGACACCATCTTGTAGTCGACGATTGAAAACTGAGGAAGCTCAATTTTATTGACTCCCGTTACTGCTCCCTCTCCTCCATTCCAGTAAAATTCAATGTCATCTGTGGTATAGCCATCTGAAACCAAGAAACAGCGTAGTTAAATGGAGCTCAGTTGGCCTAGAAATTCATTTTGAAGACAGTTTGAGATCTGAAGAGAAAATCCCCAGCAACTGATGGTAAGATGCTATTGCTGTAAATCAGGATGACGCAAGAGGTTTTGTGTTGTGTGCTATTTCTGATGGTTGGTTGTGGCTGCGTTGAGAAGATGGACACCTTACTTTAATGAGCATATGCTATGTGATCGATCATTCAGTGATTCCTGACATCACTGCATATTTATTCATTGTGTCTACCAACGGGCACTCTTTGATTACATTAGGGAATGCCTAGATTCCAGGTGCCTGGGCACAGATTTTGACTATGCATTATTTAACAGCAACAAGTATAATAATTGAGCACATATTTGTTAAAAGGGAAACAGAAGAGGTAAAGGGATGGAGTATAATGAAAGTCCAATTTTGTACATACCCATTAAATGATCGACGTTCAAAAAGGAAGTGTCCTTTTTTTTTTAGAAAATTAGGCAAGCTTCTATTTATATCCTTTGATTATAGCTACAGTATAGGTGAAAATTTTAGAAACTGCATGAACTTTTGAAGCTATCTTCATGTGAGAATGAGCTTTAAGTGATTTAAGGGGAATGAGTAGAAGATTGTAGAAGGGTCTGTCCTGAAATCAATTTCCCTTTCCACTTCTGTTCCTACTTGCCAGTGGTCTAACTGAGTTATGGTCATATATTAGGGCAGCTTGCATAAAAACAATGTATTGATATATTTAAAAAAATCTAAAAATCATTTAAGACATATAGAACACTACATTTGTAACTTTCTGCTAGATACAAAAAGGTTTTTCTAAGGTTATTTTCTATTTATATTCACCTCAAATAAAAAGCATCAAATCTTTTCCCATTAGAAATACTAAGGCTTGTGTTTCAAAAGTAACCATATAATGTAGTAGACATTTTGCTGACCTACTTTTGATTAAAGCGAGAAATGTTTTCTCAAGAGATAAAAAAAATATATTTAAAATTTAGAAGTTGAATGCCAAGTGCCAATGGATCACTATCAACATATCCTTGAAAGAATGTGAGAAAATTTAAGTTATTCTTCCTTTTTTTTTTTGAGGGGAAATAAAACTGTTTTAACTTTATGGCTTTAAACATTTCTAACTTCTTTTCAGAAAGCTCTTTTTAGAATTCTTATCCCTGAACTCATTGAATTCACAATTGTTTTATATTTGTTACTTTTGCCGTATAGAGGTTATTATTTACTGTAATATATTTCAATTTGTTTTATTTTATTTCTCTTTAAACCATTTCTCTCTTAGGTCCAAGAACTTGCCCTTTCTTCAAAGGGTAATCTTTCATAGTCAGTAACCCATTTTACAATGACCCAAGTGTGGACATAGAAATAGAAGATATTTATTTCTGGGTATAATCTTCAGGGTCTGAGAGGCTGTGAGACCTGCTTTGCCCAGTGGACTCAGAGCAATCTACATGGAACTAACTGGTGTACTGGGGGCTCTGTATTTGAGCATGGTTCTGTAAGGCTGTAATTCTTAGCATCTCTTTGAGAATCTGATAGGACCTTCTGAACTCAAGAGAATGAGAAGACAAGTCACACACTGGGTGAAAATATATGCAAAAGACACAACTGTTAAAGGACTGTTATCCAAAATATGAAAGATCTTAAAACTTGGCAGTAAAAAACCCAAAAAATCTGATTAAAAAATGGGCAAAGACCTTAGCAGACATCTCACCAAGGGAGATCTACAGATAGCAAATAAGCACATGAAAAGATGCTCCACGTGATATGTTGTTAGAGAAACACAAATTAAAACAATCGTGTGATACTACTACACACCTATGAGAATGGTCAAAAGTCTGGAATACTGACACCACTAAATGCTGGAGAGGATGTGGAGCAGTAAGAACTCTCATTCATTGCTGGTGGGAATACAAAACAGTACAGCCAGTTTGCAGTTTCTCACAAAGCTAAATGTACTATAATCATATGATCTAGCAGTCATGTTCCTTGGTTTTTACCTCAATGAAATGAAAACTTATGTCCACACAAATACCTGTACACAGGTGTTTACAGCAGTTTTATTTATAATTGCCCAAACTTGGGGGCAACCAACATGTCCTTTGGTCTTTTGATAAACTGTGGTACACCTAGGCAATGGCATATTACTCATGATGAAAAGAAATGAGCTATCAAGCCAAGAAAAGACATGGGGGAAACTTAAATATATATTACTAATTGGAAAAGTCAACCTGAGATGGCTACATACTGTATGATTCCAGCTCTGTGACATTCTGGCAAAGGCAAACCTGTGGAGACAGTAATATCAGTGGTGGCCAGGGGTTGAGGGGATGGGAGGGATAAATAGACAGAGCACAGAAGGTCTTTGGACAGCAATGAAAATACTCTGTGTGACACCACAGTGGTGGGTACATGTCATCATGCATTTATCTAAACCCACAGAACGGACAGCACTAAGAGTGAGCCCTGAAGTAAACTAGGGACTCTGGATGATAACGATGTGTCTGTGTAGGTTCATCAGTTGTAACAAATGCACCACTTTGGTGGGGGACGCTGATAGCATGGGGGGCTATGCAAGTGTGGGGGCAAGGGGGTATATGGGAAATCTCTGTATCTTCCCCTCAATTTTGCTGTGAACCTACAACAGCTTTAAAAATATTCTTAAAAAACAACTTCTGAAAAAATTCTACAGAAAGATAAACAAATAATACATAGGTGCAGATAGATAAATAAATACAATTTGATGATAATTGTAGAACATCATGGATTCCCTTGTAGCCCATTTATAGGTTCTAGAACAAGAACCTCCTTCCCGAAGGGAAATGGCCAGTGGCAACAAGACAGCTTGAATTCAACCCTGATGCCCTCCCTTCCACTTCTGATTCAACTGTGAACTTCTAAGCTCAGCATGAAGTAAGATCTGGGGACTGAGATCTCGGCTTTGTCTGGATCTAGTAGACAGTGATGTCATGGGATTTTTCCCCCTCAGGAAAAAGAGAGAACCTGGGGACTTGGCATGGGGTCCCTGGATGGGGATTAGAACAGAGAGATTACGGAAGAAAGCTGGGTTCAGGGATTTGGGGAGCCTATTAAATGAAGGTTGCTACCACTTGTGTGACTATCTGGA